CTTTGAAGACTGTGGCCGTCACATCTCTCGGCTTAAGCCCTCTCCTGATGGCGGCACGCTTTCTAATCGTATCCCTCTCATTATCTTCTGACTTCTTTGTGGAGGAAACACTTGTTTGAGCGAGTTCTTCAGTCGGTTTGCTATTCCTATAATGTAAGGCTCTTAGTGCCTCTGCAGCTCTCTATACTGAGAACTTTAATCCTATTATTCAGCTGGCAGATCTTTTGCAACAGATGTGTCCTTTGTACTGCAAAATCAGAGTGTGTTTCTTTGTTGTCTTGACTCTGGAAGGCACAGGCATCACATGATGGACTGTAAGAAGCTTCAGGGCTGACCGCGTACACAATGAATAATTAACAATAACTCAAAAGTACATTAGAAATCTAAGTAATGGTTGTCAAGCTTTCTGACTAAAGAAAACTGTTGTAATATGTCATTTTTGTGCCGTGTGCTGTGTTTTAGCCCTGTTGTTCCTTGGCTGTCCTTACGTCAGCTGTCTATTTGTCACAGTGTAATGTAACCCTACATGAATGTGTATTTATATTGTGATCCTGCCAGCAGAGTAATCTGTCTCTGGACACAACTGAAAATAACTCTATAATTATAACTCTATGCTTTATACAAATTACACTCAATTAATTAATGCAGGCTTCCAAGCTAAACTGCTGTGATCACAAGTGAGACATGAAATTACTCTACAGCTGTGGATCCTAATGAAGTATAAAAGTTCATGATATGAGACTGTTCACTGAAATACCAGAAATAAACTTGTGCATTGTTGTTTTATTTTTTACAATCAAGGTGTATTTAAATATTAACTAAAAATACTGAACACACGATGTACAAAACCAGCACAACCCAGTCAGCAAAACGAACAATTTAATACACATATATAACATATACTGAGTCAGGCTCAAATTAACCATTATTATAACAGTTATTATCAGCAGGAACTTGGTCCTTATAATACCCTCATATACAAACAGTCCTTTTGAAGGAGCTGAATCAATAGTTTTAGGAATATTTTGGGATTTTAATTAGATGTAGTAATGGGTGGCTTAGCAGCCATTTTGTCACGGTTTGTTAGCACTCCTGCTGTGGAGATATCACAGCTGTCAAACTCCTGACAACCTAGAACTACAATTAGAAAGCTGACGTGAGCAGATTTTCTCACATGGCTGCTCATAACCAGAGCCTGAAAAGTTCCGATTTTTGTCCACATGAGTACCCTTACTTCTTGTTGCTTACTGCCACCTCTGGTGGGCATGGCCGGACCCACCACTGAGGTCACGGGACGTCAGTACTTTTTTTGAGGGTTATACAATGAAAGTTGTGAAATGAAATGCAATGAAATACAAAACCAGATGAAAGGCATTATAACTGAAATCAACAGTCCCTCCACCAGTCTTTCTCTCTCCCCTGGCTTCAACCCTGTTTTGTTTTGTTATATTTAGTTTGTCTTTAGCTTCATTTCTCTTATAGTTATGTAAAATAAACTTATTTTAAGTTACAACTTGTGTGTGTTCTCCTCTGCTTTGTCCAGCGTTGAGCCTGGTTGTGACAACAGATCGATATAGTGGATCGCAGATATTTGCTGAATTTTGTAAGAAAAAAAAAAGTGTATTGGATTGCTGCACCTTTAGTAATTACTGTTGCAAAATGTAACTTAATTTAACTGCTGTATAAATTATACTGGTCATATTGCTGTTAAAAATGTGATTTTACGGTGAAAAACTGTCAAATCATGACAGTAAAAGACCGTAAACCACAGTTTTAAATACAGTTGCTGTAATAGTGACACTCGTGACTCACAGTCATATCCCAGGGAACAACCTTTATTTATATGGCATTTTAAAGGAATTTATATGGAAAGTTCAGCTCAGTTTTTTAATGTAAAAATAACCTTTAAACTTTAAGAGGAAGTGGGAGAAGGGAGGAGATAAATCAGACACACTTGAGGGCTGGAGGAGAAACAAACAAAGGCAGCATGGAAGAGAAGTGAGAGTAGCTAAAAGAAGGAGAAAATTGGAAAGTATAATTTACAGTTTCTGGTTAAAAAGAAAAACAGTGACATATATAAAGGTAAAGATTTGTTCCTGGCTGGATTTAGTGAACTGTCCTGGACAACAAGGCTCAGCTGGAAATAAGCAGATCCCTGGAGCATCTTCAGCCTGCTCAGATACAGCGTTGGACTTCTTTATCTCCATTGGACTGACCAGAAGTTAAGATAAGTCTCCTTTACCGACATTCTCAAGGTTTCTCCTATTCTAATTCATGTTATTGTAAAAGGACCCCCTCTCAAACACACACACGCATCACTCTAAACTAAACTATCTACACACACAATCACACACATCCTCTCATGAACTTAATGTGGAAGCCCATTTCTGCCAATGTGATGGGAAAAAAAGGATTCTGTAAGTCATTATAATGAGAACCTTAATCAATATTTTGACTATCTTGTACCGTAATGTTAGCTGTCTCGTAGCTGAGCCAAAGTGCTCTCTCAGTTGAGGGAACTAGCAATATCTCCCGTTGCCAAGTCGCATCTAAGGCTTGTCCTATTTACTGTAATGTACTGGAACCTTATAGGATGGTAATGATTATTCTAGGTATTAGGAAGGACCTCAGGTGTTACCAGGGAAACTTTAGATTTTGATTGAAAAATGCATGAAAATATAAAGTAATCTTTGTTGTTTTCTTCAGTAAAGACTACGCAGAGGCAACCGTAAAGTCCATCCACGTTGTCCATTAATTCCTGATCTCTTTTCAAGTTTTCAACCTCAAGCATTTTAATGGAAACCAGTTTTTTATGTTGCCAGATCAGGAACAAACCCAGCAGATTTGCAGAGGCAGCATGAGTCTGGCTGATATCTGTTCTAACCAAAGACTACAGCAGGTGGATAACATTTGACAAACATACTCACAGTGTATTCATAAAGGAAAGAGCTGATGTGTTTTGAGGCATATTTTCCATAGTTGCTACTTTAACCTTAAATCAGGCTTTCACTTTGCCCCAGAAACTTCACATGGTCTTTTTCCTCTCATCGGTGCCTGTTCAGTGACTGGCAGTGATGTTGGCTCTACTGAAGTGGAATGAAGGCTGTGGTAGGGGGTGTGTCAGAAACAATCAAGCAGAAAAGTACAATTTTGATGTTGGAGATAAGAGGATTTGTGCCTGCTCACACCAGGTTTAGTTCTCAGTGCAAAACGCTGTACATGAAGGCAAATAAAGCTTTAAAAAGGTTTCTCATTCTACACTACACACTACTATAGCTGTGGTGATGATCTAACATAGCCATGATCGTGATTATACAAAACTACTGAAAACGTTCCTTTGAACATTATATTCCATCCAATAGATCCTCCTAAATGTTACATAATGGATCAACGCAGCCATATGACTGTGTTTGAAACAGTGAAAAACACTGCAAGTGTTTAACTGTGAACTTTCACTTCAGATTGCCAGGTACATTTAAATTAAATGAAAGTGTTAATTTATTGCAAACATGTATTCACACCACATTTATAACTTCAGTTTATAGAGTAAGACTGAAGAGGAGAGAAACCAAGGACGGCATCAGGTTCATTTCACAAGTTCGCTGATTTATATGTGTGGAAAAAAACAATGGTGGCCACTAAAAAGGTTAGCGTAGATGCTGCTCTGGTGCAGTTAGCCTACGGGGTTGCATCCGGTGTCCGATCTGTAGGTTTAGGCATTAAAGACTATGACATTTTACTGTTGTTAAACACATAGGAATGTAAATAGTAAGCAGATACTAGGATTATATCCACACTGTAGTTCCCTCTCTGTTACGACTGGTGTGAGCTGGACAACAGGAGTAGGACCCAAACGCAGACGATGGAGGCCGAGCTGGTGCAGATCAGATTTATAGTTTACAGGACCATGAGGCAGGTAGGTAGAGGTGACAGGTGACAGGTGACAGGTGTGAAGATGGGTGGGGCAGTTACATGATGGGGGAAGGAGCCGGGACCATGGTATGTAGTGATAGTCCAACATCAGGGTTGGATGGATGTCTACTGCAGTGGTTCCCAACCATATCTCAGCGCTACGTTTGTTTCTGTGAAGAAAACTAAATGAAGAGATTTAGATTATTTCAGATCTGAACTTTGAAGACCTGAAGACAAACTTTTTCACAGAGCCTTCACTGTCTGATAATTAAAACAACCAAAGAGCTGACAGAAAATGGCCAAGCATCAGATAGAATAAAACACTGAATTTGTCTAAAAAAGAGGCCTATTAAATAGTAAAGACTGTTGAAAATAGGAAAATATGTGTGTGTGTGTGTGTGTGTGTGTGTGTGTGTGTGTGTGTGTGTGTGTGTGTGTGTGTGTGTGTGTGTGTGTGTGTGTGTATGTGTGTGTGTGTGTGTGTGTGTGTGTGTGTGTGTGTGTGTGTGTGTGGATAATACAGACGGAGAATTGTATAAAAATGTCCATAAAATATCAGGAAAACTCATCTCTGAATGTCTCATTATGAGCTCCGTTCTGACAGATCAATCTGTGTATACTAGATGATGTTATAATAACAATATTCTGTTCTGTTTAGAGTTAGTGTGGATATCCAGACATCCAGTGTAAGGGTTTACAATGTCATCTACCACTTATGCTTTCTATGTTTTCACTGAGCTTCTGTCTGACACCATTAACCTGTCTTTTTTCTGTTGTTGTTTTGGGGCGCACACTATTGTATGTGCATATTAATACAGCATTAGTTCCAGTCAGATTAGAGGTTCTGACGTCAGCAATGTTTCAGAAGTCAGGCAGATAATCTCAGTTATATTAAGTATTGGAAAGTGAAACCCTTTGCATGTCTAATCCTCCACTGTGAGCTTATTTAACGGTGATATCTGTTCAGCCTTTGGCAGACAAACGGTGGCTCCAACCACTGAGGTTTACCTCAACCAATGAGATTACTCCTGCTTCCTGAACAGCTCGACTGTCGACTCACAGACTTTCAGATACAGTGACACATCACATCCTCACATCCTCGTTTTTTATTTGAGTCAAGTGTGGCAAATTTCACATTTTAGGGCAAATGTCCAGTTATTGTGTCCATCTATGCTCAAAGAACACTGGGAAAACACCAGCAAGCATAGTGAATAATGAACAATCACATTATAATCAACAGGCCAGATACAAACAATTTCAAGTATTATATATTATTCACCTCTCATCTATATCAACTCTTAGTATTCCTGCTGTTACTGTACATTAATACTGTATATGACTATAATGCAAACAATAATGTAAATATCAAAAAGCTGTACAAAAAACAGGATGTACAGGAAATAAGTTGGGAAAGACGCTTCTTACAGCATACAGACAAACATAAAAAATACAAAAAAGGCACTTAAGAATATCACATACACACGCACACACACTATGTACACATACTAAAAAAAATCTGATACTTGAGCCCATGTTGTCACACAATTCACCTGAAAAGTTATTATTTTTTACAATTATATCAGATACACTTGGCTGGGGAGCAACGTAGAGACCTCGTCAGCTGATAATAAACAGGAAGAGCAGCTGTCTTAACACCTCACATGGCTTTTAATTTCACAGATATTGCAACCAGGAACTCAAATGTCTGTTTGAAACGATGCCTAGGATTCAACCTTAACTCGTCTGCCAACAATATCCATCTGTTCAGAATAAATAAAAAATAAACACAAGCAAGGTGTTGCTGTCAACTTCTGACAGGATGAAGGTGATGATATGATGTTTCTTAACATTTCGGAAGGTGAGTGTAAAAACCTGTTTCACTCTCTTGAGCAGCTGCTAACCCTAAAAGAAATAATTAGTCTGGGTGTTAGCAGTTAAATTACTGTTGGCGTTATGCATGCTAATTAAAGGACTCATGCATCCTCATTACACAGGGTTCCCAGGTCCCAGTTTTTGCTCATAATACTGGTCAGCGTTTATGGGACAGTCCACGTTAGCTCGGGTTCGTGGCATGCTTGGTTGTTCTCACCGCAGCTGATTAGCTCATAAATACCAGTTCAAACCAAGTAGATTTTCTTTTAATTTACAGAAAATCTTCTCACCCAATAATAAGCCTTTTAGAAGAAGATGTAAATGTGACCTTCTGCAGCATTACTTGAAGCCAAAGGTTTGCTGCAGGTGTGAACAGCTCTTAACTGACACAGGAGCGTTTTCTGTCCAGCTTTGCGTCTGGTAAACCTGCACTGAAGTGACATTATTATTATTATTGTTCATTATTATTTCCAGGATGTGCCTGATTACAGTACATAGTACAGTTCTACAGGAAAAAAATATTATACTACCAGCTGCACTTCTACAAACTCTCCCCTAGAAGCTTTTAACGGTTATATTCAGAAAGCATTAACAGTATCACCTCCTCCTATGTGTAGCCTGGTTGAAAACAAACTATTATTGCAAGGCTAAACGACATGAGAACAATCAATTAATGACGCGGCGAGTTCCTGACCATTTGTAGATTACACATTTAAATCTCGATTTGGAAAAACTAACAGCGCATTCAACAGGAAGACACAGATTGTCAAAAAAGTGCAACACACCACACGTCACCTGTTTGATCACCACATTAACTCCAGTCACATCCAATCCCATGCTTATGTAAGAACAGAGAGGCCTTCTGGGTGACACCGCACTCTGTAGTCACTGTTCACAGGAGAGTAGCAACGTCACTGAGAAGCCTCTCTGGTTCTTACAGATATCCCGTCACTGACAAGTCCTGTTCCTTTGCTCAATAGTACAATTAATTAATACAAATATACATTTTTCAGAGGGAGCAGCTACCTCTCACAGAGCAGATAAATATTGTGCCTGCTATTATTAACAACAAAGTAAAGACCTCAAAAAATGTGGTTTTAAAGTATTGCTATGATAAATTAGCCACCCTGTCCTCAGTTCTGTTCAACTCCCTGACCTCCTCTTCACATTGTAGGTTTCACTCAGCTTGTTGCTCAGCGGAGCTCCAGTAATAAGGACTTTGTTTCCCAAAACCATCGCGAGACTAACGCGCCCGTCAGCAGACACCTTTTGGCTCTAAAATGATCAGTGAGCACCTCCCCGACAGTTTAGATCATTAAATAAGGCGATCTAATGTCTAAGTTGTTTCGTAGACGTCTGGGTCTCTACTGGTTTTAAATGGTTTTGGGATTTGGTCCGAGGTGAGTTTGTTTGTCTTGGCTCAGGATGTGACCAGTCCCGCCCCAAATTCAAAACTGATCAGCAAAGAAATAACATGCTAGTTCTTTATGGTAAGCCCTTAACCTGAACTGATTCTGACGATCAGATTCTACGAATGTGTTCTACGATTACTGTCAATAAAAGCTTTGTGAGTCTAACAATGAAGTTCTGGCATAATCAATAATTTTCTTTACAATGGAACCGGTTCATTTTGTTTTCTGCCTAACAATCGAACCTCATTCCTTACAGAGGAACCATGTCGTTATACTCGTTCCTGTCTGCTCTAGCTGCCACCATCAGTAACGCTCCCTCCAGTCCGGCCATATTGGAGCCGAGTCCTGCGCAGCCCTTCAGCCCTCCTCCAGCCAGCTCCTGGCACATCATGGCATCATGGGAAGACACAATAATCCCGCTACTGGCAGAGGTGGCGGTGGTGCTCTCCTCCTCCCTCCTCTGTCGCTCTGGCGTTGGAGCCGGCGCCCTGATCCCACTACTTCCAGCACCTATGCTGCCACCGACACCACCACCTCGCCTCTTAGGCGGCGGACCCCAGAGGAAGGCGTGGGCAGGCCTGTAGTGCTGGCGGGCGTAGCGGAGCAGGCGTCTGCGGGTGGCTGGCAGGCGGATGGTGTAGACGTAGTACTCGAGCGCGCTGTGTTGCATGTTGGGAAGGGTGTTGCGGCACAGCGCCTCCTCCAGGAACAGACGGACCAGCGGGGCTTTGAAGGCCTCGTACCCGAGCTCACCCAGGGACTTCAGGATGCGTGTGATCCGCAGGTAGTTGTGCTGGGACCTTTTTTAAAAGAGGAAAGCAGGAGGTGAAAAGGTTTGCTGGAGTTTTCAGATCATCATTAATTACAACACGATCACAAAGATACGCCGTGTATAACGGGACGTGGAACATTTTGACAAAGCACAGGGGGTATTGTTCCTGCTGGCTCACTGTCACACTGCCACGGCTCACTGGGACGCTAAAATAGAACAAAGCCATCGTTGACGTTATTAGTGACACCTCAGCTTTCCTCATACGACCATTCAAAATGTCTGCTTTGAAGTGTTACAAAATGCGACCTTATATCGGTGATAGATGAGATATTAAATCATACTGAGTGCAGCGTTTACATTAACCGTCCAAAATATCCGGAGGGAAATATGCCAAATAAATAAACATATACATTAACAGCGTATTAAATAGTCTAATATTGTGTGACCTATACGATATGTTCCAGTTAGAAGCTTTTATGATGCAAACAATTTGTGTTGCAGCTGCTGTTATTGAGAGAGCAGACCAAAACAAATACAGCCCACCAGATTCCATTGACAATAACACTAATTTTACCCCCCTAGATCACAAAACACACTTAAACAAACATAAAACTCAACAAAACAATCTTTGTTGGTCTTTGCACTGTTTTAACAACATTCACCAACTCTGCTTTGGTCGAAATGAATCCTTAATTCACAGAGTTAGATGAGAAAATAGCTCTGAAACCGACTGCCAAGTAACGTTAATTAGACCTTTAGTTTAACCAGAAACAGCCATAATATCATTATCACCCTGCACCAGACTCCAGAGACAAAAACACTCATTTAACCTTGTAGAAACTTGTGAAACACCTTTCATTCAAAGTTGCCAGAAACAAAATGAAACTAACCAAATCCTATTTGTTAGTCCTTCCACTGTTCCAACAACAATCACCTGCTCTGCTTTGGTCGTCCGGTCTTTGACAACACAGAGAACCTTATTATTTAGAGTAGTTTGTTTCTGAAGGTTGTTTGTTTCTGAGAGGAATCTGGAGCCCACAGTGCACCAGATGCAAAAGGAGGTTTTGTGCATATTTGATGGGACGTTAAAAGCAAGAGAAGGGAACAAAACTGTAGCGAGCAGCTGCTTTATGAAGGAGAATGTGTTGTTTTCCTTGTGGTTGGGATAATGGCAACCATTAGCATCCGATCCTAAGTTTAAGGTGGTTTGTGACTTGAGGAGGTTGTAGTAATAGCACTGAGACCGTGGTGGGCAGAAGGAGAAACACACACTATAATTGTCCCATCTTGTGGCATCCAGGTGCTTCTGTGGCGAGGAACGTGATGACTTCTCTCAGGCCATGAAAGCATCCAAGCAGGATGTGAAAGAAAAACACATCACCCTTTAAATTACCCTTTAACCATCTGTTTGTTTCACATTTGGCTGCTGATAGAAGAACAATTAAGTTGCATTGGATTTAGAATAATTGCCTTGCTGAAAGACACAAAAGCAGCGATTGGCAACCGAGCCAGAAGTCCACACACATTCTGGATGCAATTATATACCCCGAAGCTGCTGCACTGTGTGTGTGTGTGTGTGTGTGTGTGTGTGTGTGTGTGTGTGTGTGTGTGTGTGTGCGCTTACTCATTAAGGTGCTGGAAGCGCTCCTGGCAGTTGGGAGCCCGAGCGACATTCCCACTCTTATCCAGCAGTTTGATGCCGTAGAAGTCCAACATGAGGGAATAGGCCGCCAGGAATCTCCGCTTAGCTTCCCGAGTGGTTTGGAATTCCTGACAGAATTGAACGCAGCAGATCAGAAACCGACACGAAGGGTTACAACCCCGCCTTTCTGTTTGCCATCGACATGCATTGTGGGTGATCAGATGGTCTTCAGATCATCCAAAGATGGCAGATGGACGTAACATTTATCTAGATAGTGTAGGACGTTCTCATTAAAGCTGGTGGATTCCTGTAAATGCCATCAGGAGCATCTGTCTCATGTTCTACTGTCAGGATAAAGTGAACATTTCAGAGTTATTTTTGTAAGTTACCTACTGCAGCTTTAACTATGGAAGCCCATTTCTGCAAATGTGACTCCATAAACAAGATGAATCCTTTTTTTTTCTCCACACTGGCGGAAATGAGCTTCCATATTTAACAGTGGAGTGTAAATACATTTTAAAACTAAAATCAAAACACAACCTGGACACAAACCTTCAAGTGGATAAGCATTCTTAAAGTTGACATTATTATTATTATTTTATAATAATTATGCTCAAATTGATCAAAACACAATGAGAATTTCCAAAAACCCCTTTTGAGAGTGTAAGTTTGTCTCATTTGAGTAACTTGTGTAACTGCTATATATAGTATAGGAAATGCACCAACGAGGCAAACACTTATACAATGAGGAAGTGCAAACAAATTAGACGTGCAGCAGGAAGCTCAGACCTTGTAAACATGGTGTCAGGATACTGACGGTGTGTGTAGACTATAGAATATACATTGAAACATATATGTGTGTGTGTGTGTGTGTGTATGTATGTATATAATTTGTGTGTCTTACTTTGATCTCCTCCTGAGTCAGTTCATTTGCGTAGAAGTTGAGCCCTTGTTCTCTTAAAGGGAACAGCCTGAAACGGAGTAAGAAACACGATGAAATTCATTTCTGGATGTGATTAAAACACATTTGTTTATTTAATAATGTGGATTATTACGTAAGTGTCATTTCACAACAGCTGCTAATGCTGTCAACCCTACAGAAAGTTAATACCATGTTCCCTACACAGGTCTATCACAGCCAGTGTTTCCTGGATGCTATCAGAGTTCTCTGTCCTGCTCTTCATTGGATTAGATGTTACCTGAGATAGCGAGCGTAAAGTATCAGCTAACCTGGTGTAGCAACAGACACTACAGGTGGGGCCGGGCTTAGCTGACAGTGAATTTCAATTCTAAAACGTCCCACATTTCACACTCAGGAAGTAAAATCCTCACTTTATTCCTGGTGACATCTGCTTGACAGTGCTTTGGTGTGTCAGCTATAACACACAATTAACTCCAGGCAGTCTGAAGGAAAATGAAAGTAGACGGATGAAATGTCTCACCACTGAATGTAGGTGTGATTGTGCTCCAGTTTGTCATAGTCGCCTCTCCACTTAGTCAGAATCTCCTCTATGTAGATACCTGAGGAGAGACAGGGGCTAATTAGCTGCCACACATCGTTTCCTGTGTGTGTGTGTGTGTGTGTGTGTGTGTGTGTGTGTGTGTGAAGCTTGTTGAACACTGGATCAATCCACTAATCTTTTGGTCTTTCCCAGTCAAACATGACCTTTTAGCCAAACAAAACTTGTTAAGCCCAAAGCCAACATTGTTTCTCTCCACTGTGACAGGTCTGCATGTATAGAGTGAGAGAGAGAGAGAGAGAGTGTGTGTGTGTGTGTGTGTGTGCGCAGTGTTTCCCATACATAAGCTCTACGTGGGCGACCTGTCAGTACAATTGACCATCAGACCTTCAGCTCTATCTAAACGCGTGGGCGCCGACGGACTGTAACTCCAGATTCTACGAGGTCCATCGCTTCTGGGTTCATCCATCGTTCATACAGCACCGAAGACTTTCAGTCTACGCCCACTTACTACAGGGGTCCCACCGATCGACATATATAAAGATGGATGACATGACAGCTCTCCAAAAGTGAAGCCAAAACATCAGTTAGAATTAGAATAAGCATGATGAACCAGGATATCTGAGCTTTCCATCTGACCTTGGATTTGAAAATGTGAAACGTATTTTAAATACGTTAACAGTTATTTATTTATTTTTACGTAACGACCAGCAGGGGGCAGCTCCACTGGTTGCAATATAAACTGATACCATTCAGTCTTATGGAGAAATGAGCCGACTTCTCAGTTGATTTATGAGCTCAGTAAACAGTTTCCTGATGAGTTTCTGGTCTCAGTCTCTAGTTTCAGTCTTCTTCCACACAGCATGATGTTCATTTAGTAACTGATGGTCCCATTTAGAGTAAAACAGACCATAAAGCAGGGTATGCTTTAGGGCGGGGCTACCTTGTGATTGACAGCTCATTCTCAGTGAGTCCGTCCAGCTCAACGCACCAAACTCAGATCAAACTGTCAAACAGTGCTGATCAGATATGGATCCAGATTCTGTTGTTGCGTTGACTAGTTCCACTTTTTGATTATTTGACTACAATAGCAGCAAAACTGTACAAGACCCATACAGTAGATACGTGTGTGTGTGTGTGTGTGTGTGTGTGTGTGTTGTGTGTATGTATGATCTCACCATCAGGTACCAGAGGGATCTTGTTCAGGTAGAAGCGCAGGTTGCGGTACTCGTTGGGTTGCCGGGACTTTCTGTAGTTCTGTGCACGCACACACACACACACACACACACACAGAGTAAGATCTCACTGGGCGTCTACAACACTGAGAGAGCAATTGTGCATTATGTATCGGCATCAGCGTGCACGTACCGGGTAGCTATGACGGTACTTGTAGAGGTCCCTGGCAGCATAGAAACTCCTCTTCATCCTCGGAGCAGACTGTGGGGATTCAGTCAGCTGAGAGAGGAAAGAAAGAAAGAAAGAAAGAAAGAAAGAAAGAAAGAGACTCAGGTTCAAATGCAGATACAACAGATTGAACAGATGTAACTCGTCGACCATTCGGCTGAATTAAAAGGATTGACTCTGCTTTTGAGGTCGAGGGCTGTTATTATCCCATTCCTCTCCAGCAAAGGAGGACAATTCACATCAGCGCTGCCGTAGCAATCGCTACAAAAGGAACGCTGGAAACTAGTTCTGATTCTCAAATAAAATCTGGGTCATGCTAACTTCCAATGAAAGGCTCACAGTGTTACACTGGCCTCGATATCTAACTTTATACTGCTTCAAACAGACAAATCTGCCAGTAGCTTTCTTCATTGTTGTGCCTTTTTGACCTGGACCTGAAATGACATTGAACTGGCCTAACTTTTGAGAAACCTCCTTCACAGAAATTCAATTTATTGTTGTAAAATAGCAAAAAAAAAAAAAAAAAAAAAAAACACTGAGAATTTATCCAGTTTAAAACAATGTACCAAAGAGTGATCCAGTGAATTACAATTTCTCAAACAATCCTGTTATAACCTGCTGGTTTTAATATAATAAAACAGTGTGAAGCAGTGTATTCGGGAAAATCATGAGTCTAATAAAGTATTTTATTTCCTTCATAAACCAGCAGGCAGACTGTAACTTCAATTAGAAAAGCAATATTGGGAATAACAAACTGCCTTTTTGTGTGTACAGTGTGTAGTCAATAATGCCACATTATATAAAGTAAGAGTTCATGCTTTTTAAAATTCATTACGTTTCTAATCCACCAAGCAGCAATTGATGTCACTTCATCTCATATCTGACAGCAACTTTCACTACAAGCTGCAACTCATCACCTGAAGTGTACCCTGCTGAATGACCATTACAATGAAGTACTGTGGGCCGATTAAACGCCACAATGAGTGTCTCTCAACCACTAAGTAAAGTCAACACCATGTGAGTGAATACCTTCTCACAGAACCGAGTTTACATAAAATTGACACATTTTTGAATGAAGTTTGGCGGGGATGCTCGGTTGCCCTTTACGCGTCCTGGCCTTGTCAATATTGCGCGCTGCCCGGTGGCACACATGTTACCGCACCGTGTTCCCGGTTCTCCACCCCACCCTCTCCACTGTGTCACCCCAAGCATGCTCCAGTGACCCCTCCGTGTACCTGCGGGGACGCGTCTCCCGCGGCCCGGTCGCTCTCCGCCGGGCTGACGGAGTCGGAGATGCCGCTGTCATCTTCACCCGCCGGCTCGTCGCTCTCCGAGTCCGACCCCCACGTCGAGTCGCATTCCTCAACGGTGCTCGGCTCCTTGAAACGCCAGCTGCCCAACAGATTTCCCATTTAAAAAAAAAAACAAAAAAAAACATGCAACACCTGCTTCTCCTGTTTATTTTCCTCTTCTTCTTTGCACAGAAAACGCTACATCATTTTACTCACAACCTCGTATTTTGGTTTGCAGAGCGCTGGGCTCACATTGCCCTCAGAGCCGAGCTTTTAAATGGCAGAAGAGGGAATTTCCAGATCAGCAGCGATGATGCGTGTGTATGAGGGGCGATTAGTGCCAAAAATAAGCAGGCGGAGGCGTTAAAGCTACAGTACAGTAATGTGAGCTGGAGAAGTTTCATTAAATACACTGTAAATCCATAACAGCTTATTAATAAAAGAAGTAAGCTAACATAACTTCAAACTTAAACCCAAAAGTTAAACCCAACTTAAAATGAACTGTTGAGTAATAACTCAGTTGTTGTGCGTGAGTTGACTTCAATTCAAATATTTATACCATGGTCTTTGTGAATACTCGATTCTGATAGCTGATAGCTCGCTCATATTGTTGCTAAAACTAAACTATAATTACTGTTTGTTGGCCGTATGCAGTCTTATTGACTTCCTGGTATAACATTAGCTCTCTGTCTAGTATCATAACATAATAATTAAATAATGAGCTTTTTCTATTTCTTTGGCAAGTTACCATGTTACAGGCGGGATAATGCCCGACGAGGTTTCCATTATCATCCCGATAACCTCTATCCATTATTACTCTGCATTACGTAAGCCCCAAAATTAACTGGCTACCATTTTGATAATCGATTATTGTAAATATATTTTTTTTATCATACGACAGGAAATGTAATAATTAGCTATAGTGGAAGAAAGCTGAGTAAATTCAATTTAAGTGGTAACAAAACCTTTATTTATACAGCATTTTAAAGGATTTTATATGGAATAAAGTATTTTTTATATATATTACAGACTGCCAGTTGCACAGAAAACTTTGTGGCAAAATTGTCTCTTGATTGTTGATTTTATGGTTAAAGTTGGAGTTTTATTCCATATTTTCCATATAAATACGAGTTTTTACAGTGTTAATATCCTTCTACCGTATTATTATTACTTAATATATATTACGGTAAAGTTCTGTCAACTACAGCTTCCAGTTTTTTACCGTAAAAATATATATATTTTTTTGTTCTTTGTCCCTCTGAAGGTGTCGGTACTACTAGTGCCTCAGCATTTTAGTCCACATTGTTGGGATGGATCCCCTGGTTCTCCTCATCCTGCTGCCGTGTGGCACTAATCGCTCCCCATACAGAGTCAAGGTAACAGCAGCATCAGGACCAAAGCTGCATCACGTGACCCCAGGGATAAGAGGAGGTTACAGTTACCCCCTCCCCATCAGATTATCAATGTCACTCCAGGAACAAAGGGAAACTGTGAAGGTTCTTGTTTTGGGCAACTTTAAAAATGTTAGCAAAAGTAAAATATGACTTTAAAGGGATATTTATGTCTCTGTTATCATTATGGTATGTTTCAGAGCTTCAATTCTCACATTATTTAACAAAAAACTGTACAGTTTTTCATGAGAACTCTGATCTACGGGGAGCTTTGATCATTAATTGTTGTAAAGAAATGTGGATTTCCCACTGTATGACTTGGGTTTCACACTTGCACCTGTTCCTTCTCGTAATCTATAAGCTCGGTTGGTTACTTCTTTAATTCACCATTTAGAGAAAACCCCTGTAAATGCACAGTTCATTTGCCCTCTTGTTGCCACTCCAGCTGAGACTTTTCATGGAAACCTGTTATGTTTTTCACTTCCACAAAAAGTTTTCACATAATCCAACAGAAACCAGTAAAACTGAATGATTTTATCCGTCGCTGATACGATGGATACAGTTTAATTACAAATGTATTGTCAAACTTATTTATTTATATTTATTTATTTATTTAAACCTTAACATGAACTAACTCTAATGTAAAATGTTGATTTAAACTGACTACAAGGAGTTTTTAACTGGTTTCAATTTAATACTGATTCTTTTAGATCAGTAATGAGAGTTTCTTGTAGGGGCTTTAAACAGTAAATTGCCCTTTGCCAGTGGTGTAAAGTAACTAATTACATTTACTCAAGTACTGTATTTAAGTACAATTTTGAGATACTTCTACTGTATTTGAATACATTAATTTTATGCAACCTTTTTACATTACATGTATTTGACTTCTATAGCTACAGTTACCTTTCAGATTAAGATTTTACATAGAAAAATACAATAAGTTATTTTACATAAAATAAAACACATTAAGGATTAAACCAGAACTTTTTTGGCTTGTGACCTCAAAGAGAGAAAAGTTTTACCAAGGAGACGTTTCCCCTCTAAAACTCTGCCAATAGATCCTAAATGTTGCACACTAGACCTTTTTAAGTAGGATTTTAAATGCAAAACCTTTTATTTGTAATGTTGTATTTTTACATTGTTGTTTTGGTACTTCATTAAACGCTCCGAGTTCTTCTTCCAGCACTGGTATCTGCATTGGCTTTAGTATCACCATAGCTTTTAAGTGTCCTGTTTTTCACCACAAGTTACTAACAACTTCACTGCAAATAATATTCATATCGAGTCCAACCCTCACAGGCGTTCTGGGTTTGCTTAAGCCTGTAGGTCGACCACCCTTACACTGAGAAGAGGACTCACCCGGAGGGGGTAACTACAGTTCTTGGCAGCGCCAACAACACCTGTGACATTGATGTGACTCTTATCATAAGGTGCCTCCAGCCCTCCAGCTGGGGCTGCTGCTGCTGCAATGCATGAAAGTGAGTCACAGAGGTCAGGGGTAAATCATGTTTTCAGTCGAGACAAAAATATGTGATGTCAAAATCGAGTGAAACCGAGAAATGTGGAAACAGAGTCGATAATACTGTGTCAGCAGTATTAGTGTCTGTCTTATCACTGAATACAGGAACTGAAGTTGTAGCACTTCTAATACTATGAGTAACATTGTATGCAGAATGAATCCAAGCAACTGGTTAGAGGGCAATCCTTGAAAGACAGTTAAAGCTGCACATAAATGGAGCAGAATGCAATGTTTTACATCCAACTTGGAGGCTGTTGGACTTTCTGACTAACGCGTGACTACGTATTGTTAATGGTGGAAACCCCAGGATCAGATGACTGCTATAATCAAATCAGCTATGAGATGTGTTGATCTTTGTTAACGGAGAGGAACACAACCAGGTTAATGGATCTAGTGGAATTTAACACAAATAATGTATTGTTGCCCCTCCTAGCCACAGACAACAGGTCCCAGTGCTCTTAAAGTCCAGGTGAAATTAAAACTGTTAACCCGTTATGATTGCATCCTCAGTTATATCGTTCCCTTATTTAACAATGTATGCCCAAACATTAACAAAAACTCAATTTCTTTGCATTATTATATCAAAATCCAATCATTTTGTCTTTTTGCATTATGGCAACTTCTAATGAAATTACTTTCAACAAATGTTCTACATTGAGTTAGGGGCTTTTCCTCTTCAATCGAATGTATTTTCAATTAGCTTTTCTATTATTAATTATGTCAACACAACTCATCACAACTCATCAACTTAAAGGGTTTATCTAAATCATTAAATTAAGTTTTATCTTGCAACCGTGTATTTATTAAAGTGTTGACAACAGGTCCACTGATTTTACTTTTTATTTCTTAGTTAACTCAAAAATGTGTTGGAACTGATTTAACATTGAAAGTAAAACTTTCACTAAAACTAACTCAATATTGTAAGTTTAAAAAAAAAACATTCTTGAAGTTCATTCTTCAAGTTAGTCATTTTAAGTAATACTGACTTTTTGTAACTTTTATTTGTACTGTGAAAATAAAAAACATAGTAAAAAGTACTTAATCAGATGTTTCTGTAACTTACAAAACTAAGTTAGTGTCACTTAAAATGACTCATAAAAGCTGTTTAGTCAAGAGTCTTTTAAACAAAATTGAGTCTGTGTTATTTTCCCAGTATAAGTGTAAGAATGAGGAACAGCCTGTGACTGTATCAGCATTTCATCTAAATATGATGAGCCATATGCCAGAGCACCAAATCAGTGCAGAGGCTCTCTTTGTTTACGTACTCTAATCCCTTTATTGCTGCAATATTGTGTCAGTCACTGAGGAGTTTTCTGCCAGCAAGCATTTTATTGCTTTCAGTCAACCCGTTTCCTCTAATGCGTTGTTCTGGAAACACAAAACTGGAGTCTGTATGTTGGAAACTCCCACATTTAGTGTACAAACCGAGCATTAATGTACACAGGTTGCAACTAATGGTAATCACTTGATTTTTTTGGTCCAAAAATAGTAAAATCTCACATTTTCAAACCTTCCAATTGCTATTTTTGTCTGACAAACACTCCAAAATCAAATGTATTCAATTTATTATCACATAGAATAAAGAGAAGGTGGAGATTAATGAGGGTTTGTCTTGAAAAATGGCTTAAATTAGTTGGCTTTGACAATCAGCTGTTGTTGTTTCAGCTCCACATTAATGCAACCTAACTATCTAAGATACGCTGTATTGCCACTATGGTGAGCTTTGCTTCCATTAAAGACTTTCTAGAAAATAACACTGTAAAAATAGAAAACAAACTCATCAGTTCAAGGTAACTCTCTTCACTAATTTGTTTTAAATTTTATTCAACCTCAAACTTTTAAGTTTTGAAATAAAAACCTATATTTTTGAGGTAATTTACCGTTCCTCTTAAACTTAAACTTAAATCTTTGAGTTAAGGAAACAAAAAAAATCTAATGTTAATGTTTTAACATCACACTAATACAGTGTCTCAAATAGTGGGACGTGAGCCCCTAGGGGTACTTTGGAGTACTGCAGGGGGCACGTGAGATCTAATAATTCCTAAAATAATTATACAGTAATAAAGCCGATAGGAAGCTAGTTTTAATATGCAACAACCTCTCTCGTCTATCGTTTCTACCAAAAATGTTTAGTCAGTTATTTATTATAATGATTTCATTTTCAGTCATTCTGAAACTGTTGCTGTAGATTTAGAGCACCAAAGTTGAAGTTCAATAGGAATAAAAACTCCTTTGTTTCTTGTGTAATCATTTTTGGGCATCTTATTTTATCTTTTTTATGTTTGTGTTGTTGTGCTATTGTTTATTGTATTTACAGGGATAATTTGTGTTTTGGGTACTTTTTGTTTGTACTTGTTTTTGCTTTTTTATGTTTGTGCCTC